TTTTTTAAGGATCAAGATGTGGGTTTGTTTTTCCAGCTTCATTAACAGTTGTTTTTTCAGAGATCAGATATCCTCACAGGACAACATATACAAAAATATGATTTTACAGAATATGATGCATTGGTGTGGATTAAACAGTGTAATAGTTTTGATATTTACCTTAAAGAGCAATAACGTTAATCAATATTGCACAGATAGAGAAAATCAGCAAAGTTATTGGCTTTAGTTTTGATATTTTACCATAATGCAACATTAATAGTGAAACACATATAACAAAGTGGAAAAGGGTGTAAAATCAAACAGGAAAAGTCAATAAATTTAGCCAAGTAGCTTTGGTATAGCAGCTAGTTATGTACAGAAGTTCCACCATTTGCGGGGATAGCAGAATAATACAACTTTGTACAGTCAGACAAGTAGCACTGAAAATGTCCAACTGCTGAAGTCATGAGATTAACTTTATTACCATTACCTTTTCTGTGGACAATACTCTCGTTGATGTGTGCAGTATCCTTTGTGTATGGAAAGCCTGAATATTGCAGTAATGGGAGATTGTTTTGTTTCAGATCGAGCTTCTCTTTGATGTGCTGATCCACATCGTTAGCATTCTGGTTCAGCAACATCCTCTGTTTTTCCTGATTCTTCACACTAGATGGAGCCATCTAGTGTGAAGCACTCCAAGCACTGAATGTTGTTCCAAATTTGATACTGAAATTAGAGATCAGCAGGTATAAAATCACCGCCCACTGACCATTCAGTTCTTTGGAAAATAGTGTCACCATTCCTGGAAGATCCCTCTGACCCCCTGCAAGCAATTTTGTTTTCAGATCATTACACAGCTCGACAGATAAAACTGTCTCTTAAAGGTTGATTTAATGAAATACTTGATAATAATCCTTCTAATTGCCCTGTGCCTTAAACACAGAGCAGTGATATTAAGTCTGCTAACTTAAACAGCATTTTTGCCACCTTGCTTTCCTGGCTATCCATATATTTCCAGTCTCGCTGACCAAAGTCCTTAAACACATTCAGAAATTCACACACCTCTTTTGTTACTAAACTACTGTAGAGCCCTTTTCCTTTCACACACACGCTCATGTCACTACTTTGTCTGCAGCAGCTTTATTGTTTTCCGCCTGTATTGTGAGTTTAATCTCTTAAGATTTTTCGGGTAGTATAGTTTTATCTTCCTTTGAAAAATCAACTGCTCTGCTGCCACTACACTCTTTCATGCTTGTGATTGGTCAGATGCTACCAATGCCACTCCTTACATGGAAACGTGCAGGGGAAACCCTGGATTTACTCAACAAGTTGTTAACTAGCTTTGTGATCACTTTTTTTGTTGCAGATGTTAGGGTAAGTGAATCCAGATAACAGAGAGACACCCTGAGTATATTGAAGGGAGGCAGGCAGTGTTGGACCCTTTAATAACTCTGCTGGAAAACTGAACTCATATTTTCCAGCAAAGATTTCACATATAGAAACTGTTTCTTCTCCATCGGTAGTGCATACAGCTCCCCCTTCAACTCACCATTCTTGGTTAACAGGCTATTTAAGCACTGGCAAGCCTTAAGTTAAAAAACATCTTAGCGTTTGTTTTTAAAAGGATTCCAACATCAAGGGGACCTAATACCAAGCACAACAGATATCTATTACTTTAGAAGTTGGCAAAATCACAGTGAAACTGACAGTAAAGTGTATTCTCTGTACAACACTAACCCTGAAACACTTGTCTTCAGTATGCTGCATAGTTTTTAGAAATTTCCTGTTATCAAATTTATCAGATTTGTCAGGTGTGGTTGCCCTGACAAATCTGATAATTTGTCAGGGCAAATTAAATCTCAATTCCGCTAACTTCTCTCCCATTCAAGGATCTGAAAACCAAATCAACAATGAGGGACAATTTTATTAAGAAAGGTGGACTCAAATGTGCATTTAAAAGAAAAATATAATGGACAAAATAATGACCACTGCTAGTGCTAGTTCAGCCTCTTAGTAGATGAATTTAAAAATCCTTAGTGGCTTCTTTCTTGCGTGATTCACTGGAAGAAAACTTGATCTCTGATTTTAAACCTTGAGATCAAGGTCAGCAAATTGTACTTAGATTTTTAGTAGATGTACC